CATAAACCCCTCTTGCTTTCCAAGAATGGATTCACAGGTGTCACAGAGACCCTGTTATACTCGTCAGGTGAGAAAATAAAATGTGTCCCATGCGTCAACAGCAAGTGGAGATGCTCTGACATAAATTATCCTGTTCATTAAGTGGTATAAACATGATTAGGGAGCTATATGTCTGATTTAGGGTTTGATTTTTAAGCCCACAAACATTTTTCTGCTTGTATCACACACGATACGTTGACGCACATTTTGCACTTTCATATTTCGAATTTAAAAAAATTCCTTACCATTATAGAATGCACTTGGAAGCATGCAAAATTCTCCGCAAGTTGGGTCTATATGTACGTACATTAAGGATATCCATCTTTCTTTTTCATTTCACTTTTTTTTATATAAAATCAATTTAATACCTTATATATAAAAAAATATAAATATTAGGAAAGATCAAAGTTAAATTAGATCCTTAGTTGATATAAGTATTCTATAGGGTCGTAAGCTTTACCAACGACATAATAATAACCTTCTGTTTTAGGTTCTATCAGAATTTTATGAAGACGACCAGTTTAAGTCTATAATTAATACCACGGTTATATATAATTTGTTTAAATCAACGCCACAAATTTAATGATTAAATCGACATGTAGAAGCCATAAACCAAGTCAGAAAATGTTGTATTAGTCACAACACCTATAAAAATTCAAATGACTTTTAAATCAGTATCTTTGATGATTTTTGGCTTAAATAGTTTTATAGCCGGGAAGCAAATTAGAAAAATTAAGAAATAAATTGGCATCCCAGCATACGACGTTCATGTCGGAACATCAATTTTTTTGTTGATAGCCATTTTAGGGAAAATGATATCATAATCGTTTAAACTAGTTATGCTGAGTGTTTTAAATGCACCAATAAAAAGAGACGGCCCACGGAGATCATTTTGAACTCATCGGTTGTTTTTATCGCAGCCACTTAAACAAACGACGAGTTGAGATTAAAGTAGTTAGATTTATGGAGCTTCTGAGTGGTAGCTAACGATCTAACGCTCGGTGTTGGGTAGGAATCATACACAACTGACGCCATACCCCGCTAGGAGAAAAATTAACTTCTAGAAATTACACATCGTTTTTCAGTTTTCAAAGAAAAAATATGAGTGAAATAAACTCTCGTCTATCAACGGCATCATAGACGAGGACCGCGAGATGTGACGAAAGTCACGTGACCCTTTATCTTTATGAAAGATAATGTGCTTATAAACTGAAGTTAACTTGTAGTTAATGTGCTTTCATATCGTTTTATTCAAAAAACAGTTTTAACCTTCGATATCGTTCAAGATAAGTTTAAAACGAATACATTGACTCTATGTACTCCTCATTTATATGTGTCGCCCATAAGTAAACCAAGTCCAACAGTAGCTGATAGCATCATAGAAATGTCTTCTTCTTGCCTTAAATCACTGACTGGAAACGTTTTTCTTATATAAAAAATGAAACACATGAACTAAGGGCCTACATAATTTGGTTTTCTGGCCCATCAAACAACGTCGATGTGATATTTTATACTGAGACATTACGATGTTATATGACGCAGTGTATTCCCCAATAGAAAATAATTATGTGTAGTATGAGTGGTATTTTTTTCTCTTCCAATTTAAAACATTGTGACAATATTTTAGAAAATGCTGCCTTTTGTTTGCCCATTATAATCATTGGCCCCTTTTCCGTTTGTAAAAAAAAATTATTTGATTATCTTCGCAAGAGTCCTGAATATAGGTAATGGCGCTGGACAGAATTTCGTAATGGGTCAGAGGAAGTCAAAAGAAATTTGGTTAATTGCAGAGAATCATGATGTCAGTCCGTCGTTTACAACTTCCTGCGACTCTGGTGACAACCTATATTTATCAGGAGACAACATAGCAATCCCTCCCAAATTTATATGCATTGTAAGGTAAAAAAAGTCCATTACATTTCAGGGATTTCAGGTAATAATTGATAGAGTTATAGCACTTACCCACTTTGTAGAATCTTGAGAATGAACAAGTGATAATCTGTTTAAAATGTATGTCGATTTTTCAGAATTGTGAGATGAAAAAGCCTGTCGATTTTATGTGAACCCTCTAAAGAGACAAAAGTTAGTATCTGATATTTGTGTATTGTCCAAATGTGTCGAAAGGGTACATCTGATTGATCATTTGTAGAGTTAATGCTCTTGCTCAATTTGTAGAAGCTTGTGAACCCATATAAAACAATTTGTTATTAACGATCTACCCGAACTTTTTACGAATTATACTGAATTTCCGTTAATTGTTTCAAGAGTTATTTTCCATGCTTAATTCTTAGAATCTTTTGAATATTCAGACCCAATTGCTTGAAATTATTGTTCAGATTATTGGTAGAAGAAAGCTAAATTATTGAATTTCAATATTTTCCGTCAGTTACTTATAAAGTTATTACCCTGTGTATCTGTGTATAGAACCTTATGAACACTCTATTGACAAATGTTACAATTCATCCGATCTGCTTACAATTTATATGCATTCATCAGATTAGTTAAAGAATTTATGTTAATTACGTCTTTCTTTATAGTCTTGCTTACGTTGTAGAATCTCCCAGATGTGCTGTCGGCAAAAGTCATCTAATCCACTTGAAATGTATGCTTTTTTGTTTCGATTGTTGCGACAAATAAACCAATGAATTTACAGGAATTTCTAATGGTTACTTCCGCAGTTCTTGCCCTTGATTACGTTATAGAATCTTGCCACTGCTTTAGTTATGTTTCAAAATATTTCGCTTTCTGTTGACCTAAAGCACCAGGATATGACAAAGGTGAGATACCTTGGCTGTTTTGGGCTATTTTTTGTTGCCTGGCAAACTAGTCTTTCAATCTGTTTAGTGCTCAGTGTCCAGTTCCGAAGCATGCACTTTACCTTATACTATTACCTGCTTGAATTTAAATAAGGAAATCGTTTTGGTAGATTTTATAGTGTAGAGTTGTTTAACGAATTCAAACTTTCAAATAAATTTATTTTTAAAAAGAAAAAATGGTAAAGAAATATTGACGCTATTCTATATTCCTTTCATTCATCTCAGTATATTTCACATCGTGCAACAAAATCTTTATGAGAATTTTCGCATCATTCTGACAAATGTAAAATATTCTGCTAAATGTAATAAATATATCAATATCAAATATATACCGCCAGTAATAAAATTTCAACATATCTATGATAGTTTATTCTTGACCTTTTTTTAAAGGTGTGAGCTTGTGATTTGTGAACCCGAACCAATTAGTGTTGAACAGACCCCCATTAGCAGATATCGTCTATTTTTGTCGATATACCATAACCATAAAAATACTGTTGTTGATGACAATGGAAGATTAATATCTACTTGGTATATCTCTAACAAAGTTAATATCTTGACAATTTTCTTGATGATATGCATTATTCATCAAGAATATCATCTTGCTAATAATAATGTCTCCCATCTTAGTGCGTTGTCAATGAATTTTATCGCAAATTGTACCCGAATTAAAATCTCACCACGGTTTTATTCGCCTGTTTTGACAGCTAATGGATAATGTGATGGGAATTCATACTTCAAAGGATATCGGATCAATAAAATTATTATAATATATTGAATGAGTCTGTTGTATACTATTATATTAATATTAATAATTTGACGTATTGATGCCACGGTACTTAAACTTTATTTCTACACATGGACTATAAGCCTACAGTTATCAACTTAGAAATCGATAATTGACAGTGTTTTAAAGGGGTACTTATTGTCAAAGGTAGAATAGGGACGGTCTTTTCCCTTTGAGGGATATAAACCTTACATAATTAAAACAAAAAAGGTAATGCCCGCACAATAAATACGCGAACCCCCATTGCTAATCAAGAAGTGGTATTGGATGGTCTAAATAGTATAAGCATGTCCCACCTCATTAACAACATCCATCAAACAACCAGAAACTATGCTGTTTCAATGCGCATATTTACTGATTATATTGTAGAAATTATACATACTGATTGTATGGTAGAAATTATATATATCTATTACTGATTGTATGGTAGAAATTATATACCGATTACCTATTGTACAATATAAATACATTTTGAACACCTACTATTGCATGATAGAAATACCTTTTTGTCACCTATCACCGATTGTATGAGGCTATATTTTGACACCAAGTACTTGTTGGAGAAAAGAGACGATCTGGGATACTTGTTTTATGCTTGTAGCATATTAGATACCCATACCTATTTAGGAAAGGTACAGTCTTTAAATATCCGCTATTGGCTGTAGGTTAGAGACGACTTGAAAACATCCATTACACCGTGTCTATAAATCTAAGTTTTGATTTTAAGCGTCCTGTTGAATGAGACTAATTTTGGATATTTATAAACCTGTAACGGTAAATCTATTTGATCTTTGGGGTATATTCTATGCCCGGAATAACTTGCGGTCTGAAAGTCGGGGGAGGTTTTGGATATTTACAGGGAGATTTGGGGTTATTCTTCTGAAAGTCTTTCTTTAAACCTGTAACGGGTTATTCTTCCAGAGTAGGTTTTTTTCGGATAAGAAAACATGATATAAGGTTTTCTTGTGGGAATTCTGGGACATATCAAGAAGAATGGTTTTAAAAGTTTTGCTCATTGATAGTAAGGGGCTAACATAGCCCTCGTAAAGTTGAGAAGATAACTAAGTCACTGTTACATTTGGTTTATTTGAACATACCACTGATCGTTATTGTGAATACTTTATGTTCTGGATTATTCATAATTAAGCTTTTTGACGTTTTCAAAATTAACTGTTTTATTTTCAAATGATTACAAATTATACAGACCAGTGATTAATGTAAACTGCGCTGATTTGTACCGTTATGGGACGTGTTTCCCTTCTTTTCTAGAATATGTATGGGTCATGAGATTTGTAACCCTTTTTTGAGAATATGTATGGGTCATGAGATGTGTTACCCTTCTTTTGGAGAATAGGTTACACCTCTTTTGGAGACCAGGTATGAGCCATGGGCCATCCCAGCGAACAGTGTTAGGAATAAATAAACATAATATCAGTTGTGATTATATTTTTTACTTGTAACATACAAACATAGTATAAACAAAACATGGGCAGCACTTTTTTTATGTTCACGACATATACAGATCAAACATTTCATGACTGTCGACTGCATGATTTCTAGCTGTTTATTTTTCTAATTTAACAAGTAAAATAGATATTTGGATATGTCAAACCCGTCCGGTTAATAATACTTAGTGTGATACGTGTGTCTGTCTTTAAGGAGCAGTAAGATTAGTCATGAGATGGGTCATGAGATGTTTACCAATTTATTACAACACCCACACATATTGATCTTTCCACATCCTTTACAGATAAACTGTTCATTTATATAATTTGTATTGATTCTTGACACATAATTAATGTGGATACAGAGCACCATAGAGTCCAAACCCCGCTAAAGATGTTGGTGGAAAAAAATGACGACTTAGATACGATGCTGGCAAAGATCCAGCACCTGGAAGAGATATTCCAAATGTTGGCGGTAACATTGGTTTCGATGCCATTCTTATCTTTTCTAGTTCTGCTTCTTGAAGTCTTTTAGCTTTTGCTCGACGATTTTGAAACCAGATTTTAACTTGTGTCTCTGTTAGATTTAATGAAGCTGAAAATTCAGCTCGTTCAGCTATTGATAAATATTGTTTTTCTCGGAACTTTCTTTCTAATGCCAGAAGTTGACTCGTAGTGAACGGTGTTCTAGGTTTACGATCTGGTTTATGTTTCCTTAAAGCGCATTTATTTGGTAATCTGGGTGGAGACGGCATACCTGAAATATATAAATATTGTAGAATTAAATGTTGTGAACAATTTATTGATGACCTGAAAAATACACATCTGAACTGAAGGAAACGATATGACATTCAGATAATTTCCCGTGTATAAGATATCATTTGACCCTCTTCTCTTTTCCCTCGGGAGGTTGGGTGGCCCAATGGTAAACGCGTGTGCGTTGTATCATAAGGTCTTTCACTGAGTTATGAGGCGTTGTTTTGATTCCCGGCTTGAACGCGAAAAGGAGTAGGGTCGACTGTCCAACCTCGTGGGTTTTATCGGGGTCCCCCGGCCGCCCCCCCCCCCCCCACTGCTAAAGACCCCTACGCACAAGCGAATTATTGAAATAAAAATGTCAGTCCCGAATGTTAAAGGAAATAATCAAACTTGACTTTTGATGTTTTCCATTGACACAAAATCTGAAGAATAAATATCTGATCATGTAGGAAGACCACACTGAACTCAATCCACAATACTAGTGATACAACTACAAAGACAGCACAGTCGAAAAAGTTTTTGAAGACGGGAATTGCCAGCCCATGGAATACATCAATAAATACTAACATAATTCGCCGAACAGGTTGAGCAACAATGTGCACGTTATTATCACAGAAATTAATCCTAATTATTTTTAATTTATATCGAAATATTGTAATCGATGTGTGATTGAAGGTCGATGAACATTATAAGTCTACTGAATATGTTTAACATATGGTAATTTCCACACAAAACAATACTTAACAACGCCCTATTTAACCAATTCAATCTGAAAACGTTCTGAAGTACGTGACAACATTAAACCAGTGAATAGTTTCACGCGATCTTAATTGCGAGATAAATTATGTATGAACAAATTCAGCAACTATAATTATTATAATTGATGATAGAAGTATTAATATTAATATTTATAAACAGTGTTTATTAAAACAAAATTTAATGTAGATTGTTGTCAAATATAATGAGCCTTTAAAATGTCAAAATTACTGTTACTTAATTATGTGTTACTGTTTGACTAATGACTCGAAACAAACACATTTCAGTTAAAAAGACATTAATTTACACCTTACTAATCTACATTGAATACAGATGAAAATTTAAAATCAATTTATCGTGAAACGGCTGTTGTGATTGGTATCGCTAAATTAGTCGATTCCCATATCATAATTTAAAATCAATAAAATTCGCTGTCACTGAAATTGAAAATGACAAAAGAAACCGTGGGCATGACATTTATAGGGTCTTTAAACAGCCGATATTGAATAGATAACAGGGTATTCTGGGCCATTAAAATGTCTTTTAGTTGAACATAGAGACCGATTTTCACAATGGACGCCTCAAAAGAGCAGATGAGTTGATAAGTTAGAAACGGATTGATAAATAAAACGATTGTCTACAAACAGTCCTTTAGGGGAGGTAAAAAATATCTCAGATTTTTGCATAAATTTCAATGTGAAATGACAACAACTGTATGCTGTAATAAGATCTTTACAAAAATGAAATATAAAGATAATATTTTGCAGCGAAATTAAAAAAAAAAGAAATGAAACCACAAAAAAACCCTTTTGCTTTAGACAGGGTAAAAAAAAAATTAATTCTTTATTTAGTGTATCAAAATAGCATTTCTTTGTTATGTAAACCGTCTAGAAATATCTTCATGTGTGTCAGATAGAACAAACCCACTAAACAGAACAAATATAATACTGACGTTACATTAATTTATATTACATAATTGTTATACTGTATTATCTTAATAAACGCCATTTGAATACCATGCACTGAATTCATTTATTCATTTTAAACTTTTAGCATCAAATTCATAACTAACGAAACGCAATATATTAATTTTTGTTCATAACTATGTTTAATTTCACTTCGTGTTGTCAGGGTAAATGTGAGATGCCAAGATTATATATCAAGTTCTTATCATTTTATTTAAAGTGATATAGAGTGATACTATTTTTATCTAAACCATTTGCAGAATTTCAACATTTCGACAAATAACCGTAACCTTGTAGAGTTCCATCTGGTTTAGATAAGCGGCTATCACTTTAAACGTGACTTCACATATATCTTCGTTTCGTTTCCTGTGTTCTGGAGCGAAATTTCACATGAACCTAACAAATTGGCCACACGATTTTATTTATTTAGTTAGTAATATGATAGTGAAAACATGTTACAGGCTACTGTAATAGACATGTATACATAAATACAGGAGCTTAGATATATTTAAAGGAATTCTCTGTTACAATCTTATTACATGGTTTTGAAATGATTGTCCTTTTCTAATCAATAAGTAAATGCCACAATTTCTAGATTTCTACTGTACCCACGCCCACAATTTATGCTTTAAATGAGCACACTATTAAATTGAAAACGTTTTTTATAACAATCAGACATCAGTAGAAGATGTTTGTAGTACAACTATTGTTTGACAAATGGGGTTTAACATCCTACTGTTCTGCTACGAGTGGGTTAATGGAGACGGCAATGTGAATGAAGTGAATATATAGAGACTTTTATTTTAACTCAAGTGTCTTCTGTACATGCGTGACACTGTCTTTATTATTTTTTTTAACTCGAAATATGTCGCAGGTTTTGTGGCCTCCAATGTAATGCATCATTATTATTAAATTGGATTGTTATTGCTATAGAAATATAATTATCAAAATTGATATATACTAGTTAATATAAATTATAGTTATCTGCATCACCTGTCGGCAATATATATATATATAAAAGTTATAACAATAATGTTTTATTATTATCATCGATTTGTTATATACCAGTATTCTAGAATTTACACGGTAAAGATTAAAAGCCCAACACAGAGAGAATAAAAACGATATTAGTCGCTAAATGATAATTGCTTATTCAGGTGAAAATATAAACGACTTCTTAATGTTTGTCAACTAATCTAAATATCATTCAAACAAAATTATTTCTTTTTAATCAGCCCTAAACACGGTAGGGTGTCGACTCAATTATCAATAATTTCAACTCTTTATACGTTTTGTGTTGGAGAGTTTTTCGCTTTGAGCTGTTCTTCCAGAATCAAATGCAATAAAGCAATAGTAAATTAGAAATGTTCCTACAGATTTGTTCAACCTGCACTAGAAAAAGCAAACCATGCGTTTAGATGTATTAGTACAATTTGTGTATAGCGTAATACATTAATAATAAAAAAAATTAGACATACTAAGTGCACGTATTCAAGCCAAACAATAATATTTACCATAATCTAACAACATTATTTGCAGATCAACATTGGTTTGGTTTTTTTTGTTGTTTTTTTTTTTTTTTTTTTGGGGGGGGGGGGGGTCAGAATTACTGAAATTATTTATGTATATTCGTTATTCATTTGTTTTTATCACATATATTTTAATGTTTCAAAAAAGGGAATATGATGGAATTGGAAAGTACTTCCCAAACTGTACAAGCATGAAAGGATAATTGCTTAATGTTCAAGCTCTGATGTTTGATTCAGTATTAGGGTGAACATAGGCCTACAAAAAAAACATTTCAAAATATTTTTAAAGTGTATACATACATTCAAATACGGGCCAGACTGAAGAATCGGTCGTTTAACATGTATGGTGGAAATACATACTATATACATGTCGTGCATGTGCACGTGTTGACTGACATATATATATATGTATACATATAAAGTCTAGGTAGTAAGTAAGTACGTATGTTGGTGTAGATAGATATGTTATAATAGGTAAAGTAATTAGTAAATAAGACATGTATATATCACTCACTATATAGATGTTGTGATAATATAGACATACGCATTTACCATGTTGATGGTGTAAATCTATCAATTCTCTGACCTCTACAAATAACTTACATACTTATGTATATAAAATAACTCACACGAGCCTGGGAACCAATACTTAATTCGGTTATAGATCAAGCTACTCAAATCAATTGAAATTTAGGTAATATATAAAAAAAACGAATGACGCAATTTATATCCTAATTCGAATAATTTTTATTTTTGATAAGCAAGAAACTCGTATCGATTCTTTAATTAGAAAAAAATATACATCTTTATTTTATTGTGATCAATTCATTTAGCTCCTCTATACCAATTTCATGCATTCTTATTTTATGTATTTTTACATTTAAAATCAATTTTAGCATAAAAATCAGTATTTTGTTAACAATGGTATCAACAGTGAGCTGCCATTCTCAAACTCTGAAATTTAACTAGCCTTCGATTAAACAATAAGTAAATTTAAAATGGGACATATATTTATAATTCCAGATCTTATATATTTTATATATTGAATATTGTACTATTCCTAATTAACCGACATAATGTTTTACAAATCTGTTTTACTTTGTATTGTATCAATCAGTAAATTGTAATTCAAAAAATACTTTAATTAACAAGTATATGGTAATTAATTCATATGCCATTGAAGACATTTAATTTGTAATTGTGGAATGTATCAATAATTAGGGTTATCATTAAAATTCAATTTATGTAAACTAGATAATCAACATTAAAATTCAATTTATTTAAACTAGATAATTTGACAAGGAGCCATATAAAATACAAATCTACAGAGTGATTAATTTGTCTTCAAATTAAGAAAATTATTTTCTATATTATACCTGCATATATTAAACACTCTCAAAACTTATACCCAAATAAAGACGCGAAAAATTCAACCTTGGAATAATAAAGACGGTATGATTTGTCTCCCTTGTTCAATGTCCGAGAAATATCATTTGTGGGTGTATTTATTTTTAATTTTTACGTGGAATTGGCATTGTACTAGTGTCCTGATAAAAGACAGAAGTGATAAACATGAAATAGAGATTATATTTGCTGCTAATGAAAAGAATTGTTTTAAAAGGCTGATGAATATACTTAAACAGTTATAGCATTAGGAATATACCCAGCAAGAGAAACGAGACGAATAAAGTATTCGCCCGTTTTGTTTGAAAAAAAAATGTATACTTCTTTACATTTAAAGACGTTTATATCAATGCCATAAAAATATATTCCAAGCTGTAAAGCTTTCAGAATTTCGTTGTATAATTAGATCTTTGGAGTTCTAAAACATAAAGTGATGTTCAAAAATGGTTCACATGAAAATTAACGGAATATATTCTAGCTATCTGCATATTCATATGTAAAACTTACCTGTACGTGATGTTAAAGCCGGAACCGAGAACCATGCGGGTGTCATTGGGGACGGGGCTGTTAACCCCCATTTTCCATCACTGTTAACATGGTGTAATGAGGGTACGGGTGGTGAGGTAATACTGCTACCAGGTGACTTCCCTAAAATATCGGCTACACTAAAAGACGGTCTGTTGACAGGTGCTGGAACTGGAGACGTTGGCGTAGACGTTTGCGGAGTAGATGTCCTTGGCGAGGCTAAACTATCTTCGGAATCTGAAGAGTCATAATAATTGGCACATTCTTTGTCGGTCTTTTTAAATTTATCTTTTTGTATTAAAAATTCTACACTAAATGGATGTCTCTCTTTAATCGGGACATCATTCGGAACATCTTCGTGATTCTCCGATTCGCTTACTCTCTCTTCCACGTCAGTCTTATTTTCCTCTGAATATTCTCGTCGAGAAGATTTAAGTTTTTTAAATGCTGAATGAGAACTCGTTCTGAACTTGTTAACAACTTTGCCGTCTGCCATGTTTTCAACTACAGAAAGCGAAATATTTGTTTACATCATTCTATTATCTAGAAAAACAAAAGAACAAAATTGTTTACATCCAAGCGGAGTTAGATCAACTGGGCATTTCTCGTCGGTTTTCTAACCTCAAAATGACGTCAGTTCTACACGCGCTGAAAAGATGTGGATAGGTTTCCAACAGCCAATAAAATTAGCCGTTGTTAGCTTTGACAGATCTCAATTAACCGTGACACAGCACGTGACTTTGTTATGAATGGAAGTTCGTGATGGTAGGCTGGCACCGAAAGTCAATAGTACAACGCTGATTTTTAGGGCTTTTTTGTAGCGCTCTCTCTATTCTGTGTAAATGAACAACTTCGTATAACAACCAAATTTTGATAAATTAAAATTAGTAGTTCAAAAGCATTAATTCATTGTATTGGTTATCCCTGCTCTATTATTCCTAAATGAAGAAGATATGCAATTTATCTGATCTAAATCTGAAAAATACAAGCGAAAACTAAAATCAGCAACTTTGACCGAGACATAAACCTTCTTGAACATTATTAAATTCTTTTTGTTAAACTTTTTCATCTCCCAGAAAAAATATTTTTAAAAGTTGAATATCTGAACTCAACATACTTCTAAATTTCTTGACCGGGTTTGTTTCTGAGATGAAAATCACGAAAATCGGTTCATAATAAAGACATAATGTTACTATATGTATACAGCTAAAACAAAATTCCCATGATTTTTTCCCATTTCACGACCAATAGCTTTAAAAACTAGCGTAAATATGCGGAAAATGTTTCTAATAATTTAGTCAGAATTATTTATTAGAAGCAATAAATTCAACTAAGCGAAAAATTGGTTGGCGAAGTATAGCATGTCTGTTTATTTAAGTTGACGCTACATGATACCCTAACAGTATACAAACTAGAACTAGATAACCCCAAATATATATTATTGGTTAATAATCACCATATTATATAGCGGCAAAAAAGATTTCACTTTTTTTTTATTGGAAGGCACATGTATTTATTACTAGCTGATTAGGGGGGTAGTTCATCTATACAGATAAATAAAATACATTATAAAGTACACATTTTCACTATCTGGTCACAACATTTTATGTAAAATAGATTGTTAGCGGTTTTTTGGGGGGTTGTTTTAGCTTACAGAACCAATAAAATATCCCATCCCAAATATTAAATGCACCTATCTTAGATATCTGGCCATATACGGGTAATACCCATGCATTGATGAACTTGACATAAATATGTCTTTGGATAAACCGTCATTAACAATTTCAGTTTTGTATAAATGCTTCTATTATAGGAATATATCCAAAATGACCATTTTGAAGACGATAATACTAAAGTTGCATACTCACAAATTTTGGGGAATTTAGAATTAGTCATGCCCATGAAATATGTAGAATATTGAACATGGGTGAATAGTTTTAATACTGGCTACTTTACCCCATCTGGTTTTATTGGTCGTATAATGGTCAATATACCTTTAACAATGATTTTATTTATATATCATATTGTTGACTGGACATTATTCTGGTCAAAACACGAGATTAAAATCCAATTATTGGCCTTAGTGTGGCTTAATTTTTTTGAAATTGGTTATTGGTTAAATCACTGTGCGTTGTACACGATGAATAAATACACTGTTGACGTGCTTTGAACAAAAGAGGCACAAAGAACATAATACCTCTACTTGTTGAACGGAATTCGTGCCTTTAAAAAAAATAAAACCATATGAATCTTCCATGTTGCTTTATTTTCATCATTTTTCAATTAATCAACGAATGGTTTTGATTGATAAAACATGGCGAGACTGAACACTATATGCACGTGAATGTACATTTGGCTCCAAACCTCTAGGGTTAATGTCGCTGATCGTCTTGTTGCTCTTCTTCTTTTGTTGGGCGACAATCTTCGAAAAAGGTCTAAGGTTCTGTCAATTCAGGTACGATTGACATGAAACTTGGCATGCTTGTTCTTGGACGTCACAATAACAAGATGGCTGTGGTGACGACATGCTCGAATCCTTTTCCATATAATATCTAATTTGTCAAGGATTAGCCCATGTTAAAATGTAAACAAAATGATTATTTGCCACTTAACTAAAAACACGAAATGAAAATATCAACGATAGATAATCCCCAATTCAATCGGATTAAAAAGATGTTCGTCAAAAGATTTAGCGAATATTATACATGAAGGTATATATAACGTATATATATAATTATCGCCTGCAGAGATTGTCTTATGTTTACATATTTTCTTTGTAAATAATGAGTAGAATTGAACTATTTTTGGACTGATATTCCCTTTAGAGTTTTCACTTTCATAGTAATGTAGTTTCATAGTACGATCGGAGACTAATTGTTATGGCTAATCAAATAGACTTCTATACCAATATGTTTCAGTCATTTTGTTTGATTTGGAACATTGTTGTTTTTGCATCTCAACAGTAGATCTAAATACTATATAAGTTGTGCGTAGGACGGGTGGGGGCGCTAGTCGTTCGGATGGGACGAAAAACCGAGGTCCCGTGAACACTCTGGCGTGAACCCTTGAGAGTTGGAATTTCAAATAAGAGTAGACCATAGCGCCGCCGTCCGGGCAAAATGTCCCTGACAGAACACTGTATGGCGTATGTCCGTCTTCATTAGCCCAGTCGGTGCAGAAAAGTAGGACGTTAAACCCCATTTCATTTCATTTGATTTCTGCTGTCAGTTACCTTTCAAGTTTCCACAACTGACACTCCCCTGACACTGTTACTCAAGTGTTGTCTAATTTATCCAATTGAAAGTAGATTAAGAACATAGGTTATAATAAAATATAGTATAGTCAATCCTAAAGCTCATAAAAATTCCACAAATATCAGAAGACAAATTAATGTAATAGTATAAATTTCCAAGGTAAAGTAACTGTCATTCCCAGGGCAAATAGTATAGGATTATTTGCAACACGTTCATCGCCCACCACTACAATAAGAACACTTAAATGAGTAGATGCATAAACGTTGGTGTGAGTGAAAAAGAACTGCGATGACAGAAGATACAGATACTGTATTCTTCATGACGACAATTAAATATAGGTAAACACCCTTGTCCCAGTAGCTCTTGTTACAGTATAAATGTATGGTGCAAATGGAATTTATACATGAGAAAATGGTTGTGCTTTTTTTCATCACTTCTTAGTTCAATGCCCAACAATTCTAAAATACAAGTTCCACCAAGTAGGATTGATTATAGGAAACGGAATTACTACTTGTAACTTGATTCATCAAACAATGTTCAAAATATGCCTTTTCACCTAAACAGCTGGAAATATATTACCAGTGTCGGAAGATGGATTGAAGATCACTTACCAGTATTATTGACCTGTTAAGTTCGATCTACTTGTTTAAATCAGATGAACATTATAGTCGTCGATTGAAATGGATAACGAGGTAATTATCCAGTAAACTACCATGTCCTAGAGTGTTCATCTCTATAAAATCTTTACTAACTCGATGAGGCATACTAGTAAAATTTTATTACTCTACAAAAACTTAAAAACCATGACCGACATCAAATGGCGAGTCTACAATTTACTCATAATTTTATTATCATACTAATAAGAAGGCTGTGGAATACAAGCCATTTGTATTTATGTGAGTATTTTTCGAATGGCAAATTTATAGAATAATTTCACGGTCGACATTCAATCGGTTAGCTGAGGTAAGATCCGTTTACAACAAATTACATATTTATTTGTGAATAGTAACAATGGGATTAAGTTAGCGAGACAACTGGTCTGAGTAAAGCAATTACGAACCACTGTAGGTCCCATACAATATATGCTTACCTCCTCTATCAACCCATTTCGTGGCCCATTTAACATCGCGTTAAATATAAACGGCCTTGTGTCCTAAGAGGCTGTGGTGAATAGATGATAGTCCAATATTGCAATCATGTTGAATGCTTTTTAAAAGTTCGCTAGGTCGCGTCTTGCATATTTGACCTATTAGCTTTTTCGGAATCAGAATTTTCTTGTGCATCTTCGCATCTGGTTGTTGTATTTCCAAACCAATAAGAGGGTGTTTTATAGATATTGTTTCAAGTTGTCGTATATGAAGGGGTCCATACAATTTAAATATTAAAAACGCAAATGTATAAAACTTAGATAAATTACTCAATCCAATATATGCAGTAAGCTACATGTTTTCTTTTAAGGAAATATCGGAGAGAATCTTTAGAAATACGACATTTTGATGTGACGCTTTTGTACGATGTCAGGATTCCTAAATCCGATGCGTTGATGACTGTCCTGAACAATTTGATAAAAGCCGATGCTGTACTTCCATTCTTAATCCAATAAAGTTGAAACCTATGATTTTTTAGGAACAGAAATGAAGAATTAATAAAGGTGTTCAACAAGGATACTTCATCTAATAACCAACGAAAAATCAATTAAAGTTCATGAATTAACTAGGGCATTATGGGCATTATAGGAAGGACCAATCCGTTACATCTGACTCGAAAGCTTTATGACGTTCTGAAGTTTTTTAGTTACCAACTACCAATCCAAATAACGAAAGATAAAATAGCTATATACGTCATAGAACCTGTGTACTATTTGTTCTTTTTTTAGTATAAATTAATGTATGGATAATAACACAAAACCCTGAACAAACAACAGTTTGTGTACATCATAGACCCATATATACATGTCTCATTTTCTCTAAACTACAGCTTTCCTTCAAATTGGATACCCCAGCATTACAAATTACAAATGTCGTAAAAGAAAGACAAGGCTTGTATACATTCACGGTGTCTGGACGATGTGCGACTGGCGCCTTCAATCCCCGCCTTTTAACACAAAACTACACAGTTTCTACTAATTCAATCACTTTACATGGACAAAATAACGAAAATCGAAGCTATTTAATTGTCATGGGAATGGGTAGATTTCTTGTCGATGAAAAGAACTTCGTGTCAACGTCTAGGACTACCCTGTATCCAATGACAAAATATGAATAGTCAAGATTAGTAGGACATTTATCGGGTGCTTGGAAAATGAAATGATGAACTTAGCATCTTCTTGCATGTTATCTACATTTATCTTATGAT